GTTTTTTTATCTCTTTATATCAGAATAAAAGTATCTACCTGAAAGGGCTATTGTGAATATTAAATTAAATGAGATTACACACCTGACTTATCATCAGTGCTCCCCTGTGAGGGTGAGGAGCAGGGTGCTGATGATGGGGTGAGTGTGCCATTGGCATGAGCAGGAAGGGTGGATGAGAGCCAGAGCAGGGGCACCTCCCCTCTGGGGTGAAGGGAAACTTTTAGTTACTTAGATCACTTCATTAAAAATGGAGATAATAAAAATCTAATAGAGTCATGAGGATTAAATGAAACAATGTATGTGAAAGAATCTTCAAATAACCTGGCACATTTTGTATTCTTAGCAAATCTTAACTGAATTTGAGGTTTACATGATTTTTTCCCCTCCCTGATGTTATATTAGATAACTTGCTGGGATTCACCATGAGAGTCAACTATGGGGTAACGGTCACCTAGGGGATATTTGTCAATCAAACTTTAGTTAGTATTCAGAAGTCCTTGATATATGAAATTAAATAAGTTTCCACATTTACAATGATTCATATGTGGGTATCTTACCAAGACGACTGCCAAACTTGTGAATTCCCTCACGTGCCAACACCGGAGCCAGCATTCCCAGCATGATGCTGGATAGCTGTCAGATAATGGGGGTGTCATCACAGAAAAGGATTTCTACAGAGACCTGGAAGGATGTCTATCTTTGTATATATAACTTTGATCTGTCGCTGAGAGGAATGCTGTGTAAGGTCTTTACACAAACTTGGAGAGGTGTTCAAGTACTCTCATACTGATAAAGTATGGATGGACCTGTGGGCAGAATAACACAGCTCCAGAGAGGCTGGGAAATACTATGCAGCATCTGTCACTCCACTGAGCACTGAAGAAATACAGCCTTGCAAAGAAAGGGCTGCTGTTGCATCTTAAGTCCCTGTACATCAGGGAATTTTATAAATGTACCTTGAATTAAGAAAGGAAACTGTTTATGACAATCATCCTAGCATTTTCCCCCTCTTTATGATATGAACGACATTATAATAAGCTTTTGAACTGTTGTATATCTGTGGATCACAATTTGGGCATGACACTCTATCTCAGATATGACCTCTTTAAAAACTACACATTTTGTTGCATATTATTTAAACATGGGCTTGTGGTAATAATTTATTAATTAACACTCCTTATGAAGTAACCTTTATGTCCTGTATTTGTTAAACCTCAGGAATATATCAGTAGGAATATCCTTCTCATTTGTGCCTTTGAATTGCCCACAGCCTAGTGAAAAATCATGTTAAAAAATGTTAAAATGTTGCAGAATGATGTACTGATCCCATTAATAAAGGGTTTACAAAGTACTAAGGAATCCTAAAGATTGAAGATAGTGGGGTCCAAATCCTGCTCCAAGACATAGGGCAGAATGATGGAGAGGAATTTTATATTCTCCTAGACTCTCTTCCCAACCATTATCAAATTTTTCTCAGACCAAGGTTCATAAATTTAATGAGCTTAATTCCAGGTATATTATTTTAGGCTGCTGTCACTCATACCTGGATCTAACCCTTCTACCTATTCCTCTTCCCTTTCTTCCCATCACTGCTTCTCATTCCTTACATCCTGATTGTCTGACAAGTGATGGAAAAGTTTCTCACTCTCTATTCAGAGTGTATCAGCTCTCTCAGTTTACTCAAAAGTCCTTCCAACAAATATTTGTAGAGCTGCTTCATGATCTTGCTGGGCAGAGAAAGGTGAATGAAAAGAAGCCCCGTCTTTGCCCTTTTGGAGCTTACAGTCTGAAGAAGAGAATTTAATCAAATAATCACACAGATACATACATCATTGTAAATGAAAAGCACTGCTAAGAAGGTGGCAGTGTCCTATGAAAAGGGCTAGAGGAGACCCCCTCAGGGACATTTGAGCTGAAATCCAAGGGGCAAGTAGGGAGCGAGGTAAAAGTTTTCTGGGGTGGGAAGCACCTTTTCAGTGGGTGGATCAGCCACTCCCAAGACCTGTGGTGGAAAGTCCTCATTGAAATTGCAGGACTGAAGACTGAACTAGCATTTACTTGCACATTCAGGTTGTGCAGTAAACAAGGGCTTGGTGTGCTCAGCTTTGCAGCACTTATTAAAAGGGTTAGGGTGAATCTTTTCTCAAAATAATTCCCTGGGCTTCTTTGAAGGCATGGCTCCCTCCCTCCCTTAGGAAAGACTGACCTGGACAAGGTACACTAAACTCAAAAACATTTTTCAAGTATTTATTAAGCACATTTTATGTGGTGAGCCTACCATTCTATGTGCCAGCAGTGAAAAAAACAGATTAAAAGCCTGGCTTCATGACACTTTGCTCTTCTAAGAAAAAAAGAAAGCAGACAAGCTAAGTAAATAGAATGTATGGCAGTAAGTGCTACGGAAAGAAAAATGTAAGGTAAAGTGAATGAAGTTTCAAGGTAAGGGGTTGAATATTACAAGGGTAGCCAGAAGAGGACTCCCAAAAAAGGCAACTGGAATAAAAACTTGAAAGAAATGTTGGTGCTCCCTAGCACTTGGCCATCAGAGGAGAAAGTATTTTAGGCAGAGGGAAGGGAGCAGGTGAACCATACAAGTGGGAGATGCGGCTGCCACCCACAGTGCCTGGTTGTTGTCTTACAAACTCTGGCTCTCGGAGAGACTGGGAGCTGCTGGGAAGTTTGGAGCTGAGGAGAAACTTGATGTGAGCTACATTTCAAAAGAAGTGCTTTTTCTATCTCTTCTCCAGGACCACTGTGCCCAGTGTGTAAGTGAGACGGGTCTCTTAAACTATACTCCAATGGGACTTTCAGTCGCCATCTGAACTGAAAACAATTAGATGCCTTTTTACTAAATAAGAAGAAAAAAATCCCTGACTGCCTCCATAAACGTGGAAGGAATTAGATAGCCTCTCAGGACTTCTTGAGGCAGGAGGTGCTGGGGAACACAGGAGTGACTATTATTTATGGTAAGTGCCTCCTATCTCAGGGATTAATTTCTTCAACACTCACAGAAGCAGTTAGTGAATGAATAAATGAAAAAGTGGAAGAATGAATGAAGATGAAGCATGTGCACTAACAGAACTGTTCCAAGCTTAATGCTTTGCCCAAACCCACAGAAGATGAACTAGAAGATTCTTTCTCGATTATCAGGCATTCTATGTGTGGACTTTTTGGATCTGGGCACCTTTCACTCTGAGTATGCATGCTTGTTTCTGTGATTGGCCTTCAACAGTGAACACTAAACACTAATTTCAGAAATCATGAACACTGATAATTTCCTTTTTAGCCTCCAGTTTAACTTAAAACAATCCTTTCTTTGCTTCTATAAAGCATCTTTATAACTAAAGATGGTGAAAAGGGGAAATAATTCCTGAGGAGATACTTAACATGATAAGAACATAGCAGAAGGTAGTTTAAATAAGGGAAAGACCTGATTCAGATATCAGCATCCCTCTGAGGCACTGTGTCTTGGGTTCAGTGTCGTGGTAGAGTAAAAGACATCCCTATATTGTGTCTGATGAATCTTAAATCATTTTAGCAAAACCCATCACAAGGAACCTCCCTCTTCTGCTCTGATTGTACAGAATAGAGTCTCAAAAACTTTTGGCCTTGTTTCTTATTTTGGGTATGCCTGAAAGTGGGGGATAAATTTGAGCACTAAAATTGAATTGAATTTTCAACAGAGGGAATAGTCTCCTGAATTATGTATTATATAATGAAGTGCACTCTTGTGTAATTAAAGCTTTTAATTCTAGATATATGTCACTTTTCACATCATTGAACACTCAAGGGCCTCTAAATGAACTAAAACTAGAAGGTTGTGATGTTCTTTATAACTGGATTTTTCACAGGCCTTTATGGGAAAGCTAAACTGACAAGGTATTTGAGGACTCATGCAAATGTTAAATGTTGCCTATTGTTGATAAAGGAATTTCCGAAAACATACGAGGCATATCATGGGACTGAAAAAAGGAAAGCCAGTTTATTAAATCAATGCTTAATAAAAATTGCCTGCTAATTCAGTTCATAAAACTCCTGAACTTCTAGTATAAGAAAGAACATTTTTAATCACCAAAAAGTAAGTTATGTAACAAAAGTTTTAGTTTTTCATCAGTCACACAAAACATCGGCATTTTAATTTCACTATCAAAATGTATGATTCAGCACCATAATTAAATGTTTGTTTTGGGTTGTATAGCCTGTAAATCAGTTTGGTTTACTCTTTAATTAATGATTGATTATTCTTATATCAGCATGATTGATTTTAGAACCACTGTGAATAATATGGTAGTTTCATGATAAAAATGAAGGTGAAGTATGAAGATAAGAAAAAGTAGTTTATATCAAGGAGATATGTATACTTTTAAGACAGTAATCCTCAAAAAAGTGACCACTATGGGGTCTGATAAAGCTTTGAATCACCGATGTTACAATGGATTCTTATTCAGTGGATTCTTATTTAATATTTTGCCAAAATATTAAAAAAACTACCTTTACTGAGTTCCCAATCATCAAAAGAGTAGCATCACTGTAAACTTGCACTTAGTTCTTTTTGTGCAAATGAGCACAAAAGACTTTTAAAGCTACACTTCTAGAAAGCTCTCTTGAAGACTTCTTAGAATAATGCATTTATTCACTCAAAATTTACTGAATCCCTACCACATGCCAAACATTGACGGATTCTGGGGGCACCAAGGTAAAGGTTACTTAGCCATCGCCCCCAGTGAGCTCACCATGTAGTAAGGGAGACAGACAAAACAAACAAAACAAAGTGCAAAGTGACAGAGGAGACAGAGGGAGGGGAGCCCCCGTCTGGAATAGCCAAGGAGTTCCATAGGAGCTTTAAGAAGGAGCTAGAAGAGGCCTTGAGTTCAGGCTTCAGGGACATATAGGAATGGAATGAACCAGACAGTCTAGACAAAAAGGGGGTAAAGGAAGGGAAGGGCATTTGCGGTACAGAAAAGAACATGTCAAAACAGGGCATTCATTGGGTTTTATACCTGGAAAACGTTTACAGACCATGAAGTCTGCATTCTCTGGTTCAAAGATGATGAAACTGAGGGCCAGGGGAAGACAAAGTGCTTTGTCTTAGACGACGACTTATATTCACTCTTTTGGCCTCAGTTTAAATTTCGCTTTGCTGCTGTAAACATTCTGGAATACCTCCAAGCCAAGGCACCGCGCCTGCTCTGGGCCCCATGGGGTCTTCGTCCTGCCCCATCACGAGCAGGCATCTCCTTCACTGTAATTGGTTTTTGGTATGTCAGCCTTTCTGCCACTCTGGAAGTTCTACAAAGGCAGAAATATGGTTCATTATTGTCACTGTACAGCTTAAGAAGTATATGCTTAATTAATTGATTAATTAATTAAAATCACACACGAGTTTCATTTATCTCAACCTCCATCCTGAAAATTCCTTGAACACTCTTTTTCAGGTTATCACTGAAGTAAAATATCTAGAAAAGCTGGATTGAGTCACTACTAGATGTGGTTATACTTTAAATATAGCATCAAGTACCTATTATCATAATGTACTCAAATGGTGGGAATACTATGCATCATTTACATGTGATTCTGTGTAGGGCAATTTTCACTAACTGAGTGCTGAATTTAATATTGAAGTCAAACTTCTGTTTTATGATAGATTATGCAGGTCTCTATTTCCAATGTCTACAATTCTATTGCTAACTGAGTTTTAATTGCTATGAATCATACCTCTTACAATAAACCATGTGGTGGCAAAGGGAAGGAAAAGCATGAAGAAAATAAAGGCAGGATTCCTGGAGTTACATAAAGTGGAAACCTTGCTTAGGACCATTTGGGGATTCATTCTGATAGGAATTAAATAAGGTGTCTGAAAGATAAGTTTCAGAAAATTGATAAAAGTTTTTATTGGAATAAAAGTTATCAGGTTAAAAAAAATATCCTGTAATAGAAATGTAATGCTCTAGATATTAAACAAAATCTAAGGCATAGTCTTAGCTGATTAAGGTACTAGAACAATTTTATTTAGTAAAATAAACAAGCTTATATTTTCTTGCACCTGAAAGATAAATACAGGCATACCTCAGCACTATTGCAGGTTCAGTTCAGACCATCACTATAGAGTGAGTATCACAATAAATCAAATAAAATGAATATTTTGGTTTCCCAGTGCATGTAAAAGTTGTTTATACTATACTGTATCCTTTTAAGTGTACAGTAGCCTTATGTCTAAGATAAATTCATACATTAATTAAAAATTACTTTATTGCAAACAAATGCTAACCATCACCAGTAAGTCCTAATCTTTTCGCTGGTGGAGGGTCTTACCTCAATGGTGATAGCTGCTGGCTGATCGGAGTGGTGGCTGCTGAAGGCTAGGGTGGCTGTGGCAATTTCTTAAAATAAGACAACAATGAAGTTTGCCACATTGGCTGACTCTTCCTTTCATGAAGGGTTTGCTGTAGCATGCGATGCTGTTTGATAGCATTCTGCCCATAGCAGAACTTTCAAAATTGGAGTCTATCTTCTCAAAGCTTGCCACTGCTCTATCAGCTAAGTTTATGTAATATTCTAAATCCTAAGTTGTCATTTTAACAATCTTCACAGCAGATCTTCACCAGGAGTAGATTCCATCTCAAGAAAGCACTTTCCTTGCTCCCGAAGATGCTGTTGAGATTTTATTACATCCATCATGAAAGAAAAAGCAAATGAAGACACAGCACAAAAAGGGTGACACGGTGAGAACCTCACTTTCAGAGGACTGATTTAGCACCTCTGCTTAGGATGGGAAGGAACCTGGTGAGAGGTGTAAACAATAGCCCAGGATGCTGGTAGCAAAAGTCTTTAAATAATGGCAGAGTCAATTATACCTCTAGGGAGGCATGAAATGGAAGGGACAGGTTCAGATATTTTAGGAGAAAAATCAACAAAGCTTGATGATGTGGTGATATGAGGAATGGAGAAGAGACAGGAGAGACTGTTTTGCAAAGAGAGAATAGTTATTTAAGGAAAGGTGTTCAACACTTTAATTCAGATTTGAACTTGCTGCATTTGAGGGATCAGAGAGGCAGCCAGGAAAAATTCAGATACTGGTTCCAAACATACTTTTTGATCACTATTCCCCAAAAAAAAAGTCATGCTCAAGGAGGGTGAAGATAGAGCATCAAGGAATACTTCACTTTATTGCACTTCCCAGTTATTGTTTTATTTTTTACAAATTAGAGGATTGTGGCAACTCTACATTGAGCAAGTCTATTGGTCCCATTTTTTAAAGCATTTGCTCATTTTGCATCTCTGTGTCACTTTTTCTAATTCTCCCAATATTTCAAACTTTTTCATTGTTATATTTATTAGGATGGTCTGTGATCAGGGATCTTTGATGTTAATATTGTAATCATTTGGAGGCTGCATGAACTACACCTATATAAGACAGGGAACTTAAGTGCTACATGTGTTCTGACTGCTCCACTGGCCAGCCACATCCCCATCTCTCCATCTCCTCAATCCTCCCTATTCCTTGAGACACAACAATATTGAAAAATTAGGCCAATTAATAATCCTGCAGTGACCCCTAAATGTTCAAGTGAAAGGAAGAGTCATATATCTCTAACTTTCAATGAAAACCTAGAAGTAATTAAACTAAATGAGGAAGGCATGTGTAAAGCCGAGATAGGCCAACAGCTAGGTCACTTGTGCCAAACAGTCAGCCAAGGTGTGAATGCAAAGGGAAGGTTCTTGAAGGAATTAAAAGTGCTACTTCAGTGAACATGAATGATAAGGAAGCAAAAGAACTTTATTGCTAGTATGGAGAAAGCCTTAGTGGTTGGGATGGGCCTTCAAACCAGCCATAATATTCCCTGAAGCCAAAACCTAATCCAGAAAAAGGCCCTAACTCCCTTCAATTCTGTGAAGACCCAGAGAGGTGGGGAAGCTACAGTAGAAAAGTCTGAAGCTAGAAGGGGTTTAAGGAAAGAGGTCATATCCATAACAACAAAGGGCAAGGCGGAGCAGCAAGTGCTGACATAGAAGCTGCAGTACGTTATCTGGAAGATCTAGCTAAGATCACTGATGAAGGTGGCTACACTAAAAAACAGGTTTTCAGTGAAGATGACTAGCCTTCTCTTGGAAGAAGATGCCATCTAGGACTTTCATAGCTGTACAGAAGAAGGCAATGCCTGGCTTCAAAGCTTCAAAAGATAGGCTCACTCTCTTGTTAGGGACTAATGCACCCTGTGACTTTTAAGTTGAGACCAATGCTCATTTGCCATTCTGAAAATCCTAGGGCCCTTAAGAATTATGCTAAATCTACTCTGCCTGTGCTTGGTAAATTGAATAACAAGTCCTGGAGGACAGCACATCTGTTAACAAAATATTTTGAGTCCACCATTGAGACTTACTGCTCAGAAAAAAATTCCTTTCCAGACATTACTGCTCATCAGCGATGTACCTGTCACCCAAGAGCTCTGATGGAGATGGACAATGAGTTTAATGTCATTTCATGCCTGTTAACACAACATTCACTCTGCATCCTGTGGATCAAGGAGTCATTTTGATTTTTGTGTCTTTTTACTTAAGAAATACATTTAATAAGGCTATAGCTGTCATAGATAGTGATTTTTCTGATCTGGACAAAGTCAATCAAAACTTTCTGGAAAGGATTTATCATTCTAGACACCATTAAGAATATTCATTATTCATGGGAATAGGTCAAAAATTTCAACATTAACAGGAATTTGGAAGAAGTTGATTCCAACCTTCATGGATGACTTTGGGGGTGGTGGTTCATGACTACAGTGGAGGAAGTAACTGCAGATGTGGTAGAAATAGCAAAAGAATTACAATTAGAAGTGAAGCCTGAAGATGGGGCTGAATTGCTGCATCTCATGATAACACTTGAATGGCTGAAGGATTGCTTCTTATGGATGAGGAAAGAAAGTGGTTTCTTTAGAGGGAATCTACTCCTACTGGAGACACTGTGAAGATTGTTGAAATGACAAAGGATTTAGAGTGTCACATAAACTTAGTTTATTAAAGCAGCAGCACGGTTAGAGAGGATTGACTCCAGTTTCAAAAAAAGTTGTACTGTGGGTAAAATGCTATCACACAGCATTGCATGCTACAAAGAAACCATTTAGGAAAGGAAGAGTCAGTCAATGTGGCAAACCTTCATTACTGTCTTAAGAAATTGCCACAACCACCCCCAGCCTTCAGCAACTACCACCCTGATCAGTCAGCAGCCATCAACACTGAGGCAAGAGCATCCACCAGAAATTTTAACTCACTAAAAGTAAAATGATAATTAGGATTTTTTATCAATAAAGTATTTTTAATTAAGGTATGTAAATTTTTTAGACATAATGCTGTTGCACACCTAACAGACAACAGTATAGTTTAAGCATAACTTTTATATGTACTGGGAAACCAAAAAATTCATTTGACTCCCTTTACTTTGATATTTGCTTTACTGCAGTGGTCAGGAACTGAACTGCAGTGTCTCTGAGGCATGACTATATAGGATTTCCCCAAAATTTTGCCTAGTGAATGACTATATTCAGAAGGCAGCATAGAGGTAGTGCTCAATTTTATGAAAAAACATTTATTGGCCAAATTACTTAACTAGCCTGCTTGGCCAAAATCAGTAAGTAGCAGAACTCAGGATTTTCCTATTTGATTGACCTACTCCCCACCTGATTCTGATAGGCTTTAAGATGTTTGTATGTATGTGGTAGGGTATAGGGTGGGAGTTGAGGGCTAGTTGTCATGGTTGGAGGATTTAAGAAAGCTTCCCAGGTGTTTCTGTAATCTCATTCTTCTAGTTGACAACCACTTTATTAAAATATATATAGCAAAGCTCCCACATTACTCTCTAGGTAATTGGTTTATATATTCATTGCATTATTACCCTGATTATAGTTTTTTGCTTATTTAAAGAGTAAGGAAAAGTCACACTGATTGACTGAATACCAATATTTTGCTAGGCACTTTATGTACATTATTTCCCTGTTCTGTAACAATCCCCTCAGAAAAGCATTTTTATCCTGATTTTATGCATAAAGAGCCAAAGACCCAGCTGGCAAGGCTTGGAGATGGAATCTGAACCCCATCGATGTGTTCCCAGGGTTCCTGTCTCTCCACTATACTGTACAGCCTCCCTGTCTGTATCAGAATATAGATTCCCTAAAGAGAGAGACCCTATTTTTCTTCTTATCCCCTATAACTCTTAACACAATGCCTTGCACGGAATATGCTTTGTACATATATTTATCTAAGGAATGAAGAACCAAAGCAGATTAGGAAACATTTCT